AGATACACCTCTACGTGGTGGTTGGGACGAGTAGGAGAGTAAATCTCCGAAACTAAGTATCTCAAAAAAGATTATTAATTTTAATTTTTTTTCTTTTTGTTATGTATTTATTATAAATGAATAAATAAATAGTTTAATTATACATAAATTTGACTTGACTTAAATAATATATAATATATGAATACTACAGTACTATGAAGTAATGAAATAACATATACACTTTTTTATAAATAGTGATATTCGAGGTAGGCAATGATTCTCTGTTCGTCAGTAAATCTAAAGTGGTCAATTAGTGTGACCTTGCTGCCCTGAACTAATTATTTTATTGGCTAGCAATTGATTCTTGTTTTGTTGAAAAGCGAGATTTAACAGCAAAAAGAGAAAAAGTACCAGATGATCTTTTTAATCATGTTATAGTCTTTTATATGCAAGTTGTTTCACATTACATTCGGACGTAATATCTCTACAGAGTTAGACAGATCTAATCCAAACTGCTCAGAATTTCTTGATTTTGTAAAAAGCAATACGATTTAGATCACGTTAAGTCTGCATTTAAAAGAAACAGTCGAAATAATTGTTCCTGGTCTTTAGTTTATTACTACCGTAGTGCACTGACCAAAAGACCCGGGGTCTAATACAAAATACCCAACAAAAAACTTACAAAAGATCCGAGTATATTATACAGCAGCGGGCCAGTGTTGCAAGAAAAAAAATTTTCAAGCATATACATATTCTACACTTATAATAAGCAGTCTAAAAATCTATATTTAATTAATAGAGTAGAAATGAGTTAAAAATTTAAGATAAATAGTAGAGGTGAAATAATAGGAATTTGTTAAAGTAGATTAGAAGTATAAAGATATTAAATATAATACTCCTAGGTTGTTTTCTACAAAGTTGCTCACTGTATGCATATCTAGCTTTTTATCTAGACACAATCAACTACCGATAAAATTATCTTTGTTGACGCAATAGACTATCCATTATGCCTGGACTTTATGTTTATGGGAACGCTCTAATCCCAATTTCTTGCTAACTGACGATCTGGCCGAGTACCCTGAAAAGAAAATTTTAGCAATGTTTTCATATGCTTTTTCTTCCTGCCAGGTCGTCTAGAAGCCTTGAGCGTGAAACGACCTCGTGAGTCGTATACGCCCCAGCAGGGCCGGTGTCAGATCGGCTCGTGACCTTGAACGCAGGGATACGTAAAATTATTTCGATTTAATTTCGGTCGATTTGCGCAAAAATTATATTATTATTTTGTAATTTTTTATGATTTTGCCAAAAATTTCGAAAATTTCGATTCTTTCAAAAAATTTCTTTCGAAAAATTTACGTGTCCTTGCTTGAACGTAAAACGGCCTCGTGAGCCGTATACGCTCCAACACTGGCTTCGTGACTCGGCTAGAAGCCTTGAACGTCAGAGGACCTCATGAGTCCTAGACGCGTCACCAATTCTCTAACTATATTTTCAAAAAAAAAAAAATACTGACTTGATATACCTGTCGAGTAGTTCCTGTGCTCTTCCACGCCTGGGATTAGTCTTGCGATTAGCAATAGTCCTAAAACACAGACAGTATAACAATCTATTTTCTGTTGGAATGGTTCCAAACTAGTTCCGGCATTTTCTGTCTGTAACTTCACTCACCTATAATTGCACATTCGTGTAACAACACATATTTACGCGTTTGTACTTTGTATTATACTATTGGTATAATACCAAGCATATAGAAACAGTAAAAATGCCATCTATAAACGCAAACCCTCTCTAAATACCATTTTAAAAATTTATGGTCCCGATTATAGAGGTCTTACTATTGGTTTTTTTTTAATTTTAAAAATACTGTATTTTTTTCCTTCAATTCATGGTTTAAATTCATTTATATACAGTATTTCTATATTTAATTGATCAGTTAGTCAAATATTTTCATGGAACTAACTTAAAACGGAATGCACCGAAATAGTAGGCAGCAAAGCATTGTTGTCTTTTCGAAAATACTGAAATATAAAAGAATTTATCTTGTTTGCTTTTACAATTACTGCAGATTTGATATACAATAATTGATAACACACTAAGTATTTTTCCTTGAAGAAAAAAATGCTCGTGCTAGTATCACTCGATAAATTTTATTAAACAATACTGAACGATAATCACTCCATACACAAGTTATTTATTCTAATCCAATTTATATTAGTAAATGTTTAATTAATCTACCCATTTGGCATCAAGTGATAACGCAATGAATGAATATTTGTCGGTAGCTTCATCGATCTGTGATAAATTTATTGTTACACGTTGATAAACAATTCGAATAATTGTAATCATGCAAAAAACAAACAAATAACATACTCTCTTCTTTGTAGGTTTTCCACTTCCATGGCCAGCCTATTTTAAAATTAAAGACAGAGATATAATTCATGTCAATGAAATCATACATGCAATTATATCACCTAACGTACTTTAGTTTCAATTCTAATCATTAAAGGGTTTGGATTATTCTTCACAACATACTGTAGTTGCGCTATAAGTTTATAGGAATGCAAAGGCACTCTAAAAGTAAATATTCAAATTAATAAAGCTAGAATGTATGACAGTTTTTAGAATGTTATTAGTTTAAATTTGTTAATAAAAATTAATAATCACACTCTATCATCATGGTCAGACGTGGTTAATAATACTGCAGGATATGGTTTAATAGACTGTACATTATGAACTGGGGAATACCTAAAAATAACAAAATTTTCACAGATAATGTAACAAAGTAAAACTATCAATATTTAAAAAAGTGTTAACAAAGTGTGCCATACTTGTAAATATATTCGAAATCTTCCTTTTTGTCAGGGTCACCATAGTCGCTTCTCCACGCATGTCCAATGGTGAATTTATGGAATCTCAGCATGTCCATAACACCTACATCTGCTACTGCAGCACCGAATAATTCGGGTGCCTGAACGCATGTATAAATTAAGTAATCTGAAATAATATTATAAAGCATCTACGTTCGTAGATTTCTATCGCGCGATAGTAGGAATGGTAAAAAATCATTTTTCACCGATTTAAATCATGTTATGATTATAATCCGAATATATTAAATTTAAACCTCAGCATATCTGGAGTATAATCATCGCATGATTTAAATCGGTGAAAAATGATT